CCGAGAGGCTGGGCCCTGTTAATTTATTTTCTCATACTCTCCATCCATATTTATGAGCCCCTGCTGTTTTGTCTATCACGGCCGATCAAACTTACTGTGTAATTGTACTCGCCCAGGCAAGAGAGCCACGTGTGAGTGGTCGCTCGCCGCTCAACATTCCTATTAGTCCTTATTATTTCATTAATTCCCATGCAGACCAGAAGGGGTGAGGCCGGGGGAGATGAAGAGAGAGATGCCAGTGGCGGCCATGATGGGAGGTCAAACTGCCAGAACCGGGTCGTTACGCCAGCACCTTCTGATCTGGCTCAAACTAATTGCCGCAGCTCTTGTGGCCGCGTGCCCTTCGCTAGCCCTGAAAGCCACGTCTATCACGGCGTGAGTCGGACTAAAACACAACAAACCAGTGGCTTTAGGGAAACACACGTCTGGACTGAATACTGCGAAGCCTCACGTACAGTAATGTACAATCACCTGTTACACTCTAAGTCCTCTGACATGTTAAATTACATTATATTCAGCCCAGCGGGGATAATTCATTGTCTGTGAAGACTACAAGCACCAAACAAGGCGTGCTGTTGTTTACCCCCCACCCCCACCCCACACCCTTTCACACTTTAATGAATTTAATTTGTTTACAAACTAACCGCAAGGAAATATTTGCTGTACAGTACCTTGATGTTTGTGGTAGTAGATGGGGGCATACCTGTATCGTCAGGGGTAATAGTGCAATTATGTGCTATTTTGAACCCGCCGACGTACATTCATTTTCATTCATAATGACTTGTTATGTTTTCATCAAAACAACACCGGAGCCTGATGTAAGCCTGCATAATGAAGATTACTGTAGGTGGTCCGGAGCACAGCGGCTCCAGTTACTTGGTGAAAGAGCGTTGCATAATTTTAACATACCCGGGAACCGCACTGACACAAAAGTTCGTTTCTGCAAAAGCCACAGCATAAAAAAAAAAACATCCAAATATGGCTTCATTTTTTTTTTTTTTTTTTTAAGTTCATGTGCAATTCACAGAGCGAGAATCTGCATCGAGTACGTAATTTACAGAGCGAGAATCTGCATCGAGTACGTTTGGTCCGAGTTTGAGTATTTCAACCCATCTGATATATTTTAAAACACACAACATCTTTAGAAAAAAATATATTTGTGGCTCAGCCTCAGGTCACACATGTTCGCTGAGTTAGCAAATCACCAAAACAAATGTTGACCCACTGTGTTTTCATTAATACTAGTAATAATTTCAGCATGAGCTTATAATGACATGAAATCAACCGCAGGTGCATTAGAAACGACAGCCGATTGTGAGCCATTTTAAAACTGAAGCTCCTGAACGTTGATTCACTCACAAATATATATGCACATATATGTACATATACACGTATATTTATACATACATATATAGAGTATATACTTATTATACATACACACACAGTATATACATACATACATGCATACAAATATGTTCTTAAAGTAAATATATAAAAACATATTCCATGCACATACATAATGTGACCAACCAAAACCAGCTCCATGAACAGCATGATCAAGCTAATCATGCTAATTCACCCAGGATTCATATTAACAGTCAGTTTCTTACTAGTGTTAAAGTTGGTGGAGGAGAATGATTGTTTTTGAATATATATATATATATATATATATATATATATATATATAAAAACTTTAACGACAGAGTTAACTCTGTAAAAGTAGTACGTATATATGTGTACAGGACTGTCTCAGAAAATTAGAATATTGTGATAAAGTTCATTATTTTCTTTAATGCAATTAAAAAAACAAAAATGCCATACATCCTGGATTCATTACAAATCAACTGAAATATTGCAAGCCTTTTATTATTTTAATATTGCTGATTATGGCTTAGAGCTTGAGAAAACTCAAAAATCCTATCTCAAAAAATTAGAATATCACCAAAAAGTATACCAGTGGGCTAGTCAACCAATCACTTGAGTCGTCTAATTAACTCAAAACACCTGCAAGGGTTTCCTGAGCCTTTAAAAACACTCAGCTTGGTTCAGTAAACTAAATCACAAGTATGGGGAAGACTACTGATCTGACTGCTGTCCAGAGGACCATCATTGACACCCTCCATCAGGAGGGTAAGACACAAAAAGAAATTTGTCAAAAAGCAGGCTGTTCACAGAGTGCAGTTTCAAAGCACATTCATAAAAAGTCTGTTGGAAGGGGGAAATGTGGCAGGAAACGCTGCACAACCAAGAGAGATGACCGCAGCCTTAATGGCATTGTGAAGAACAGCCGCTTTCACAATTTGGGGGAGCTTCAAAGACAGTGGGCTGAAGCTGGAGTGCAGGTATCAAAAGCCACTGTTCACAGACGTGTCCGGGAATTGGGCTACAATAGCCGTATTCCCATGGTCAAGCCACTTCTGAACTCAAAACAACGGAAGAAGCGTCTGACTTGGGCTATCGAAAAGAAGCACTGGACAGTTGCAGAGTGGTCCAAAGTCCTCTTTTCAGACGAAAGCAAGTTTTGCATTTCATTTGGAAGTCAAGGCGCCAGAGTCTGGAGAAAGGCTGGAGAGGAGCAAAATCCAAGTTGCTTGAAATCCAGTGTTAAGTTCCCACAGTCTGCGATGGTTTGGGGAGCCATGTCAGCTGCTGGTGTTGGTCCACTGTGTTTCATCAAGTCCAGAGTAAATGCTGCTGTGTACCAAGAGATTTTAGAGCACTACATGCTTCCGTCTGCTGAAAAGCTCTATGGCGATGATGATTTCATTTTCCAGCATGATCTGGCACCTGCCCACAGTGCCAAAAGCACCAGTAACTGGTGTACTGACCATGGCATTACTGTCCTTGATTGGCCTGCCAATTCCCCTGACCTGAACCCCATTAAGAATTTGTGGAGTATTGTTCCAATCTCTGGGTCGCGATCGGTCTCAGACTGAAAGGAAAATTTTCAGGATTGTATT